CCAAATCATTTGGGATTTGGGACGCCAAAATCTCAAATTACTAGTATTTGGGATTTGGGATTTGGGATTTCGGCAAAAAATACTAATCATAATTTGGGATTTGGGATTTGGGATTTTGGCATTTGAGATTTTGGCATTTGGATTTTGAATTTGGGTGGCAGGTATAATACTTATTTAAAGAATGTGTTCTCAATTTTCTTCTTTATTTAATTCTTTTTTTTAAAAAAAATAAAAACTAATAATTTTTTAAATAAAATAATTCTTGAAATAAAAATAATTTGAGTTTTTTGAAATAAAAAATAAAAAAATATTTCTCATATCTTATTGTCATGATTTCAATTAATTTTGACATCCCTTTTACAAAGGAAAATTAATGAGATTAGTTAAAATTCACAAAGATTGAAATTCACAAGTTCAATTTTATCTCAAACTTTTAATTCAAAATTATATTATGAAAGATCTTACTTTTAATCTTGTTTTCACTATAATCAAAGATATTGTAACATCTCAAATAATTATTTTTATCTTTTATTTTTATCTTATTATTTATAATTATAGTTAATTTTGTAAATCAGTGATACAAATTAGAAATACTATATTTAAGGATTATCATTATTAATTTACTTAGATATATATCTAAATATGATACTTAAGGAAATACCCAGATAGGATATCTGAGAATAAATAATGAAATTACTTTTGATATTAATATTTGTATCATTTGATAAAGAACCAATCTAGTGTAGAAGATAGTATAGTTTATTTGTAACACAAAAGATATCAAAAGGTTATAAATACAGGTCTTTTTAGCTTTAGTTTTTTTATCAGTTCAATTCAATTCAATTCCAGATTAAGTTTAATAGTTTAAGTTTAAGTTCTTTAGTTATTTAGTTTATAATCTTTTGATTTATTCTTTTAATAAATATTATTTCTTTTATTATTTCTATTACTTATTTTTTATTATTTATTATTATATATCTTATTCATTTCTTATATTTCTTGTATTTATTTTAATAAAGTTAATATTAAAATAAAGTTTTCATATAATCTATTGACTTTGAATCTTTTACACATACACTTTGCTAAGTTACAAATTAACTTGATATTGTAAAAACTCTATTACAATAAAAAATTTATTCTTAAGTTGATCCTCTTTTCTAACTTTGTAATTTGCTATAATTGATTGAGTAGGATTATCAAAAATAGTATAATAATTATATAACCTTTTGTTAGTTTTTGTTAGAGAAGATTCTCTATCCTTCAGAATATTGTCATATTGAATACACAACAATATTACTACTCATCTTTTAATCATATAGACCATGCTCACCATTATGATCAAACAGATTACAAAAGTAATATAGATGATCAAATAATTAATCTTATCGATTCTAGCAAAGAGAATCTTGAAGAGAATCATCAAGAAAATGATTAATCATTCAAAATAATTATTTAATTTTTTTATATTTTTATTAAAATAATGATATATTATAAAATTTTTTTCATTTTTAAGAAATCTCTTACCAGTTGAAAAATCATCTGTTCATATAGTAATGTCAATTGATAAAAGGACTTATGCTCACATAGAATCTCTTATTTCTTCTGTATATAACAATAGTCATCATCAACAATGATAATATAATCAATGACATTATAATCTACAGTAACAACATAACATATCTAATAATCAAGAATTATAAGTTTTTAAGAATGTTGTTATTATATTATCCCAATGAATTGATAACATAAGAAATAATAATTATATAAATATATCAAGAAAGAATATACTACCTTTTAATAATGATATTGTTATTATTGTTAATAATCGTAATGATAATAATAATAATAATTACTAACAATTAAAAAAAATAATAAATTCTTTACTACAAGTTACCTTGGAAAAAATTTTAAAAATTGAAAAGTAACTTTATAAAAGTAGACATTGTTACCATGAGTTTCCTCCATTTTAATAATTTTTTTTATTATTTTATTTATTTCTTATTTTGTTATTTAGTATTTGAGTAAATCTATTTGTCACCAGTGGTAATTATTATCACTAGGCAAAATTACATAATTCTTTGATTCTAATCTTAATATTTAACTTTGTTAATTTTGCTCAATAGTAACTATTACCAGCAATGACAAGTATATTTTTTTTTAATATTTATTAGTGTAATACAAAATATGTAAATCAATAATATAAATCATAGTGATCTAGTTACTAGTCAATTTACTGATCAATTTAGTGACCAACTGATTGACCAACTTAGTGATCAACTAATTGGCACAATTACTGACCAATATTTTAACTAACTTACTGATCAACTTACTGACCAAATCAAATATTATAAAAAGGATAACTTTTCTCTTCATCTCAAGATAGATTCAATTATTTTCAAATTAGATTCGAATAGTTCTAAATAGTAAAATTTAGAAAGTAATCTTAACTGTAATTAATTCTATAATTGAATTAATATTTTTATAATTCTAAAGTAGCTAGATTATTGATTTCCTTTATAATAAATTTATATTTTATATATTAAAACTCTATTATTCTTTTACTAATTTATATTCTTCAAATATAAATTCTGATCCATAAATTTTATTATCATTTTATAAACCATTGACAAACATATTGTCTTAATTCTTTAAATTGACCTTTAAAATTTAATTATAATCAATAATTTAATTCCTGTGATTATTAATTCTTAAGTCCTTTGATTAATTTTTAGTATTTAACTTAAAATATTTTTTTTATTCTTCTTCTATTATCTTTTTCAATTTGTAAACTAAAATAACTGTTTACGAGTTGCTAGTTATAAATTGTCTTTTGAAAAATAAAATTAGCTCAAAGGTCAACTAGTAACAACATGAAATATGGATGAAGCAGTCAAAAGGAAACTTTGATGAACTGAATAAATGACATCATATAAATATTAGATAAGAACAAGTAATATATTTTAATTATAATTATTAATATTATTATGTTATGAAAGTTTAATCAATTTTAAAATTACTTTTTTAAAAAAAAAATAAATAGAAGACATAGAGAATTACAACATATAATCTTAATAAAAGATAAAATATTTATAGAATATTTTCTTCAGAAAATTAGTAGTAAAGAATTTATTAAAGAATAAAAGATCATAGTAAACTATTTAAATTTACAATTAGATAAATATTTATTCAAAGATGTACAATTGGTAAATAAAAAATACCAATTAAAAAAAAAAAATATTAATTCAAATTCAATTATTAAAGTAAAAGACAAAATATGAAAATAAATCAAAATAAGTATCAATGTTAAATTTATTATATATAAATAAATATTTCTTTAATATTTTAACTGTTAATTATTTATTTAGGTTAAATGAATATTACATAAAACTAATGAAATTAGATAAAAATTAATACTAGATTAGCTTGTGAAAAATACTGGACTACTAATTCAGTAGACAAAAAAAATAAACCAAAATCTAATATTTTTGATTGGTGGATATTTGCTAATTAAAATTTAGATGAGGATAAAGAAACAAATTTAGATAATATTAATATCATCGATAATAATGATAATAACAATAACAATAATAATAATAATAATAAAATACTAATTACAAATTGTCTTAAAATCATAAAAGTTAATTATGAATTGTTTTAAATTATAAAAGCTAATTACAAATTATCTTAAAATTGTAAAGGCTAATTACGAATCGTCTTAAATTGTGAAAGCCAATTACAAATCATCATAAAATTATAAAAATTAATTACAATTATCTTAAAATTGTGAAGGCTAATCATAAATTATCTTAAAATTGTAAAGACTAATTATAAATTATCTTAAAATTGAAAAAGTTTAATTACAAATAATCTTAAAATTGTAAAAATTGTGAAGGCTAATTATAGATTGTCAAGAAATTGCCATAACAAAATATTTTAAATCAGTTGAAATATATTCAAATCAAATAAAAATCGCTTAAAAATCTGCTGAAATATACTCAAATTAAATAAAAATCATTTAAAAATTATCTTGATTAATTTAAAATTAAAAATTTAATTTATGAAAGAAATCAGAAAATCCAATTTTAAAATAATTTGAGTTAAAAAATTATTAAAAATTATCAAAAAAAATTAGTTAAAATTAGATATTTGATTTTGATTATTTGACCTATATACAAATATATCTGTATATATTTGCAAGTGAAAATTTTCTAATGGTTAAAAAACATAATAATAAACTTCAAAAGTTTTTGATTTTGCAATAATATATATTGAAATTTAATAGTAGATTAAGTTTGTGACACAAATAATGACTTTTGAAATCTAATATTATAATATATTTTGAAAACTTCTATATTAATATAATTATTGATATAGTTACTTATATCTTTTGATTTTAGGTTGTAACACTTGTTATTAAAAAATTCCAAGGTAATAATTAGGTAACTATCTCATAGGTAGCTACTTGGTGAAAATTCAGAGATTTCTATTAGCATCATTAATATAAACACTAATGAATAGTGTTTGAACAAAATTACTTTTTTTAAAATATAAATAATATAAAATTTTTTTATAAAAATTTATTTTATAATTGATTTTTACATATATCTATAAAGTTTTAATCTACATTTATAAGGCAGTGGACAGTGTGAATGTGAGCTTAGACAGTTAAAAAAACCCTTGGACATGTACAATGCTGACTATTAGATATATCAACCAATCAAAATTCGGAAAGAGAATCATAAGCCTATACCAGGGGTATAGAATAAGGACCATGCCTTTGGTGGCGTATTAGCATTTTTTTTATTGGCTATTAAATAATTATTCTTATTATACTTTTTATGGTAACTACTACAGAAATTGAAAAAAAAATCAATATTTAGAGCTTCGTCGAATAAATTATTTTTTAGTATTTATTAATACACTTATTTTTTAACCAAAAACTATTATTTCTATTTCTCTGTCATTTACGACATTTTAGAAACAAAAAAAAAATTTCAATTATGAGCAATGGCAAACTAAATGGAGCACGCCTAGAACAGCAATTTGGTACACATCTTTAATTTGATTTACTCATTAGTTTTTATAAAGTAAACCGCAGTTTCTTTTGCAAATGAGATTTAATTTATTAGACAAAATTTACTTACCATCTGACTTATGTACTTTCGTTTTATCCTTTTTTATTCGATCTTCTTGATCTGGTTTATGTGGAATTTTCGGTGCAATCTATTTTTATATTTATTTAACCCAGCTAACTTAGGCATCAACGACAATCACCATCAAAGTTCGGGGAAACCTACCGCTGGTCGTTACGTTCCTCCACATTTAAGAAGTCGTACGTCTGATATTTCCACTCAACAGGAACAGCAGGAACAGCAGGAACAGCAGCAGCAGCAACAACAGCAACAACAACAGTATCAACAGCATCAGCATCAACAACATCAACAACACCAACAACATCAACAACATCAATATCAACAACAACAGCAACAGCAACTACAGCAATCGCAAAAGGATAATGATCAATATAATAACGAATCGGAAGAATCAGTTTCTGCCCTTCAATCACGTCGTCCTCATAGTGGATGGCATCAAAGGATTGAAAGGTATGTAAATTATTTTATTTTTTCCTTAAATGATGGGAGTATTTTATATTGGAAATTTAGAATGTTTATGTACTTTTAATATTTGTCTTCATAAAAATAAATCCAAGATTAACATAATAATTTTTATTATTATTATTTCTTAAAAAAAAATTTTTTTTCGAATAATTATTATAGTGAAACGTGGGATAATCGTCGTACGTCATTTCCTCGTGCAGATGCTTGGGGAGGAGGAAGTCGTAGTGAAATGGGTTATTCTAGTCCTCAACGTAGGGGTTGGAGTGATCGTGCATCTTCTCAAGGTGACCGCAGCTATCGTCCTGGAAGATATCAATCCAATAACTACGGTGGTCGTGGCGGAAACTTTTCTGAAGATGGATTTAATCGTCGCGGAGAAGATGGTATTGGATCTTGGCGCGATGGAGTTCACATCATTGCCACTAGAAGTTCATTTATCGAACGGGATTTGTTTGGTTCTCCAGATGATCTTGATCGGCAACACACCGGTATCAATTTCGAAAAATATGATGATATTCCAGTTGAAGCGACCGGGAATAATGTTCCAGAAGGCGTATCAAATGTAAAATTAACCGAAAAATTTTTATTTGCATTTTTATTTAGAATTACTTCATTAATCTTAAAAACCTCTTTTTTTTACGAAATAGTTTACAAATCCTCCCTTGGATAAACATATTCTTAGTAACATTGAACTTTCACGATATTCTATCCCTACCCCTGTTCAAAAATATTCTATTCCAATTGTTTCATCAGGCCGTGATCTTATGGCTTGCGCTCAAACAGGTTCTGGTAAAACAGGAGGTTTCTTATTTCCAATTTTATCCGAATTGTTTAAACATGGACCTTCTCCTCTTCCACCGGAACAACCTGGATTGTATCGAGGTCGTAAGGCTTATCCAGCAGGATTAATTCTTGCTCCAACACGTGAATTAGCATCTCAAATTTTTGACGAAGCTCGAAAATTTGCGTATCGTTCTTGGGTTCGACCTTGCGTTGTTTATGGTGGTGCAGATATTCATGGTCAGATGCGATCAATTGAACGTGGATGTGATCTTTTGACTGCTACTCCTGGACGTCTTGTTGATTTAATCGAACGTGGTCGAGTAAGTTTATCTCAAACTCGTTATTTAGTTCTCGACGAGGCAGATCGTATGTTGGATATGGGTTTTGAGCCTCAAATTCGTCGGATTGTTGAACAAGAGGGTTTGTGTTTTTTTAAAGTTTAATAGGATTAAATAGATTAAATTAATTATATAATTTTGACATTCTCATTTACCTATGAATATTATAAAATTATTAGATATGCCTGGTGTTAATGAAAGACAAACACTTATGTTTAGTGCCACCTTCCCACGAGATATACAGGTTCTCGCGCGCGATTTTTTGAAAGATTATGTTTTCCTGAGTGTTGGACGTGTTGGTAGTACAAGCGAAAACATTACTCAAAAGGTCGAATACGTAGAAGACGAAGATAAACGATCAGTTCTCTTAGACATACTTCATGCCCAAACAAAAAATGATCGTGGTCTTACCTTAATCTTTGTTGAAACTAAGCGTATGGCTGACTTGTTATCAGAATTTCTTATAAATTCAGGATTTCCCGCTACATCAATTCACGGTGACCGAACACAACGGGAACGGGAACGTGCTTTAGATTCTTTTCGCACGGGTCGTGTTCCTATAATGGTGGCGACAGCAGTAGCAGCCCGTGGATTAGATATACCTAATGTTACACACGTTATCAATTATGATTTGCCTACTGACATCGATGATTATGTACATCGTATTGGTCGTACAGGTCGTGCTGGTAATGTGGGTATATCAACAGCATTTTTCAATCGTGGAAATAAGGGAATAGTAAGAGAATTGATTGAATTGTTGAAAGAAGCTAATCAAGAAATACCTGCTTGGTTGGAAACTGTCGCGAGAGAGACTTCAAGTTATGGAGGTTCTTCACGTGGAGGAAACCGTAGTCGTGGTCGCGGTCAAAATAGGGATTATCGTAAATTTGGTAGTAGTAGTGAAAGAGGTAGTTACGGAAGTAATAATACTGAGTGAGTATAATTTTTAATTTGCTTTATATTTCAAAATCTCATTTTTTTTAATAAAATTTTAATCATTTCTATTTGTTTATATAAAAATAGCTTTAGTAACTATTATGGCGGTGGCGGTGGTAGTGGTGGTGGCAGTAGTGGTGGTTATGGCGGCGGAAATTATGGAAACTCAAATGGATATCAAAAACAAAGTTGGTGGTAATTTTTTTACCCACCTCATCAAAGGTAGAGAGGAAATGCGGAAAAGATATTTGAATGATCATATGTTCCAAGACAATGAATGTGAATATTGGGGTGTGGTTATAAAATCAGCGATTCTTAAAACAACTTATTGGTAAAATAAAAAAAAAAAGGAGTGAAAGAATTTCGGTTGGTGTGAGCTATTTTATTTTATTTTTTATTTTTATTTTATTTTATTTTTAATCATAAATTTTTAGTAGATTTTAAAATTTGTATGGACTTTTTGGATTATTTCGCACCCCCTCATTAACCCATCATTATTACAATTATTTGCTAATGCTAATTAATGAAATACCTTCCGTATTTTCTTTATTTATATATGAAGTATTTTCATTGTAAAACTCTGGTATATATAGAAGAAAATTTGAACAATTTATTTTTTCATCAATTTTTATTATTATCATTTTTTTTAAAACAAATTTGTAGATTTATTTTTTTTTTATTTTAAAAAAAACCAACATAATCTATTATTACTTTTTCAATTGTATTTTGTGACAAAGATATCAATCGCATTATATTATATATATTTTTTGTGCTTCGAATTCATTTGTCACTACAAAATCATTTATTATTAGAATTTTTTTTTGTATTATATGCCAGGGCCAAGTTATATTTCTTTCAATTATTATTAATTATAAAATTATTATCAATTCAGTCATGTCAGATCATTTGACAATCCTTAATTAAATTTCTTGTTATCAAGCAAATTATCTTTTTTATTATTTATTTATTTCATTATTAATAATTAATTAACATAATATAATGAAGACGATTATTATTTTTTATTAATGATATAACGAGTGGTACTACACATTCAATTCCCTTTTTGCGACATTTTATATTTCTTTTATATATACACTTCCACCTCTATCTCTGTCTCTGTGTTTGTGTCTATATCTTAACGAGGAAGGAGAGGAGGAGGTAAGAGATATCAGCGAATTAGTGTCATTTAAATGTGTGGGGGATGGGAATATGTGTTATTGGGCTTTGAGTGAAATTGCCTTGTAAAATATTTTTGTAGAAATGACACATTTACTGGGGAAAAAAAATATGGATGATTGATAATCTCTCATGTGATTTCATGTAAAAATTTTGACAAATTTTTTCATCAAAATAATTTTTAAAATTTTTGATTATTTATTTTATTATATATTAAAATTAAAATTAAAATAATTATTAATACACATAAATTTAATGTGATCATTTTTTTTTTTTGATTCAAAGGGTCTATCTTAAAAAATCAATCTTAAAAAAAATAATAAATAATAAAGAATCAAAATTGAAATAACGAAATAATTAAATAATATTTGTGGAAAAGTTGTATTATTTTATTTACTAATCTTTAATATTTGTCCACCTTCCCAAGTCTCACCAACATTCAAATTCACATATTCAGAAACAGTTCCTGGTTCCACGCAAACCATTTGTTTATACTCATCATCTCCAAAATCAGACATTCCATGTGCTTTATCAATCCATGGATTCCAAACAACTTGTTTTTTTTTTTAAAAAAAAATAATAATAATAATAATAATTAGTAAATGTTAAATACCATAAATTCACATATATATATATATATTTGTAGAGATGAATTACCCGTATCTTTTAAATTGATCTTTCTCAAAATAAAATTGTCAAAATCTTCATGTCCCAAATCAATATAAATTTCATCTGAAGGAACATCTGCATAAATTCGATCGACTTCTTGATCTATCGTTATTGAATCATTAGTGTCAGTAACTTGCGTATTTTTGGTAACTTTATCAATATATGAAAGATTCGAGAGTCCCTTAATGGACACTTTGGAAATATCCTATTAAAAAAGAAAGAAATTTACTGAATTACAGTAAAATAAGAGATTTCAAGATTATGGGAAATGTAAATTAACATCATGTTACCGGAACATAATAATAAGTATGTAAAAGTGCATTAAAATAGAAAGATTTAATATCCTCATTTTTCACTGTTAAATGGTTATTCAAAGTATCTTCAGTTAAAGTTATTGTATAAATAATCCTAAATTTCTTTGGCCATTCTTTACGAAGATTTTCCGGAACTTGATTATCCGCAAGTCCTAACGATAAAAAAATAAAAATAAAATAAATAAATAAATAAAATTGGACATTTCTAATAAAACATAATATATTTAATAATATCTAATTATAAATAAAATTAATAGAGATATAAATAGATACCAAATCTAACAGACACTTCAGAATTATTGTCAACTGAAACCCCCAACCATTCCCATTTAGAGAGACGACAAATACCGTGCTGTGGAAGTATCGCAGTTTCAAAGGATGAATCCGATGCTTTTCCGAATTGAGGGAAAACTAAAAAAAATGAAAATGTCATAAATATCATAAGAATTGACAATAATTTTATTTAATTGAACAAATATTACAAATATTACAAATATTACAAATATTACAAATATTATCAACTATTAATTACCTAGTGGAATTCCTCCTCGTATAGCCTTTGTCCCATTAAGGAAAGAATTTTTACTGGAATATTTATAATATATATGATAAAAAAAAAAGGTTTAATTCAATTTATAATATTATAATATTTAATGTTAATTCAATTAATTCAATTAATTTAAGACAAATACCTCAAGAATAAACGTTCTTTCCCTTTACATTTCCAACTGGTCACAGTAGCGCCATAAAAATATACTATAAAAAAAAAAAAGAATTTAAATTTACCTCAAAATAAAATACATTTATACATAATTCATTAATTCAACCTTCAGTAGAAGAACCAGAGGGGTGTTCTAAAATAACTTTTTCTTCGAGAACTTTAACAGGCATACTTAATATGATAAAACTGGTTTTGATATAATATAAATAAATATAAATTAAATATTTTTCATCTTGTGTAACTAACTGATAGAATTTTTGAAGATGAAGTTTCATATTCTTGGTACGGGCAATTTTGGGAACATGGTTGCGCATTACCTTCGAAAACACAATCATAAAGTTACTTTACTTCTTAGAACACCTGTAAATCTTGCACACTTTGAAAGATTTCAACGAACAATAACAATAAATCAACCAAACGGAGACGTGGAACAAACTCAAGGCTATGACACTGAAGTTTTACGTGATTTTGATATTGACGAATTAGTTGATCGACATTTTCATTATGGCGCTTGTCCGCCAAATTTACAGATTCAACGACTTATAGTAACAACCAAAGCTCAAGATGTAAGTAAATCATTTCGAAGAATTTTTTATCGTTTATCGCCAACAAGTACGATAGTTTTATTAACAAATGGAATGGGTGTATACGAAGAGTTGATGGAAGATTTTTTTTCACAAGACGAAAAATTGAGGCCAAACATTTTAATGGGAGCAGCAACACATATAGTTTACAGAACAAAATTAATAAATAGTTCATTTGATTTATTGCATTATGGAATTGGGGAAATAGATCTTGGCATTATTCCTCGAAAAGAAGTGGAACCAAATGTAACGGTAAACAATAATGATAATAATGATAATAATGATAATAATGAAGTAAAAGATAATTCAGATAATTTAAAGGCGAAATCAAATGAATCAAATTCCAAAATTACAAAAGAACCAATTTTAGACATTAATGGAAATGAATTACCACCTATTCCAGAGAACTCTTTACGTACAACATTAGAGGTTCTAACCTCAATTCCCGAATTACATTGTCGACACGTTAATGTACTTACTATTCAAAATCGACTTTTGGAAAATTTAGTAATTAATGCATGTATCAATCCACTTACCGCAATTTTTAATATACGTAATGGAGGATTATTATTTAATCGGGGAGCTGATCGAGTTATCGAAGCCATATGTAAAGAATCCACACAAATAATGCAAAAACATCGAGAATTTTTAGGAATGAAACCTTCAAATAGATTTGGAACGGAAAGATTAATTGATGCTATACATCAAATATGTAAATCCACGGTAAATTTAAAATCTACCATGTTACAAGATGTAACAACTCGTAAGATAACAGAAATTGATTATTTAAATGGATATTTAGTAAAATTGGGAAAATTTTATGGAATTCCTACACCCGTAAACAAATTTGTTGTTGATATGATTTATATGAAACATATCTTAGTATCTAATCCAAAAAATTTAAAAGATCGAATATAATATAATGTATAAAAATAATAATTTAATAATAATTTATTTATTTATGATATTTAATGTTATTATTATTATTATAGAAAATTGAAATCTATAACAATAATAAAATCAAATTTTTATAATTTGTTCGAATACGAGTGACTCTCATGACATTTAAAGTTCATGAGAGTGTATTAAATATCCAATATATATATATTTATTTAATTTATCCCTTGGATAAACTCTAATAACCATTTCTTAACTCATATGGCTTGAGTTAGGATTATAATTATTTATAAAAGGGAAAAGAATTTAATTTTTTGCTACAGGTTTTTTTTTTTTTAAATATTTCACAAAAGTTTTTAATTAGTAATGTGCTACTATGGCGCACAGTCTAAAGGTCACCACTTTTAAATATTTTGTATTATGGCTGGTTTATATTTAAATCACATGGAATGAATTTTATTGGATGATATCCATATCGAACCTTTCTTCCTCAATAAAATATCTCATTTTTGAATAGATCTCACATTAATATATATAAAAAAAGACTTCGTTACATGGAAACAATAGTCCAATCTATTATTTAACAGAAAATTTTTCTAAAAAAAGTCAATTAATTAAACTTTTATTTATTTAAAGTGATTAAAAAAGTGACATAATCAATTAAGACATATGGTACAATTAATTAAGACATAAGACACAATTAGTTGTAACCAGTTGTAACTTTGATATATAATTATGACAGGTATCTTTAATTCTAATCTTTTATCAAGAATTATATATATATGATTATTATTTCTAATGACACAGGTCAAATACAAAAGAATAGACAACTAGAATAGAAAAGAATAAGATAATCAATTTGTTCAATTTTTAATTTTATAAATTCCAATTTTAGTCAGTAATTTTTTTTGTTTTTAACTAGTGTAAAACAAATAACAATAACAGTGTTGATCCTATATCAGTCTATCCTTGTAGAGTTAATTACATTAGTAAATTTTACATTAGTTAAATACAAAAGAATCACTATATCAAATGGTAATTCCTATATTATAAATTAGTTAAAATCAGAATTCCTATATCATAGACCAGCTAAAAATCAACTGTCCTATTGCATCCTATATTATAAATCAGTTAAAATCAAAATTTTTTTTAGTATACTATTCTTTTGTATTTGATTTGTGTTAATAGACAAAGGTTTTCTAAAATTTATTACTAGTAAAATTTTTTATTATAAATTATTTTTTTATATATATTATCAAAATATTAAATTAAGTCAAATATAATTAAAGTTATCTGTTGAAGCCTGTAGGTTTTGTCAATTGGCAAAAACAAAATAATTAAAACTGTTTTATCCAAAAAACTTTTAAAAATAAAAAACATAAAAAAAGATTTTTCAATTAACAAAACTTGAAATTTTTTCAGATTTTTATTATGGTTTTATCAAATATATATTATTCATTTTCCATTTTGAAACATTTAGATAAAAAGTAACACAATTATTAATCTGAAAAATTACTTTAATAAGAATTTTATTATAAAAATATATTTTATATTACAAACATTGTTAATATAGATAAAGAGATACTTAATTTTTACATTAGTTAGTTTTTCAAAGAAATTGTAATTTTGTAATTTTATAATTTTGTATAAAAGAATATACATTATTTGTGAGTTGAAAATCTTTACAAACAAAATTATATAGTAACATCTATTCAAATATATGATTTAAATTCTCAATAGTAAATATAATAAAAAATTAAATAATTAATTTAGTAATAATAAAAAAAAGATAATAGTAACAATAATAAAAAAATAATAATAAACCAGATATTATTTAATAGATAAGTGTAATTCAAAATTGGATAAGCATAATTGATAAAAAAATTTTTAAAATAAACCTTGTTAATAACAAGTTAAAATATTATATTTCTGCTATATATTTAATAATATATATCATCAGGAATTAAATAAAATATTTTATGACACTATATAAATACTGTTCTATAGTATCTATGAATAATACTAATATTTATATAGTATACTAAATACAATGTTTTAGAGTATTCTACAAATGTTTTGTTTATATAGTATACTAGAACACACTATTCTATTAACTCAGACTATACTTATATGCAAAATTATTTTGAAGCCCCAAAATTACAATTTCAAGAAAAAAGTTAAAATAGTTTTTCATAAAAGACAAAATTATTTTACTTAAAATCTGAAATTTTTTAACCATCCAGATTTATTCTTTAATTGAATATATATATAACTGAATACTTTTTTTACTTCAATATATAGAATAGATTTTGCATAAATCTCAAAAAGTTGAAATACCTCAAAAATTCAAAATCAATTTTGAAAATATGTATAGCTCAGATCATCTAGTCACAAACACTTTTTATATAAGATGTCAAATTTACAAAGTTATATATAATATATAAAATCAGATGACTAAAAGATATCAAATTTTAAAAAATAAGACAACATGTGACTTTAATTTATTATTTTATTTTTATTTTATAATTTATTAAAAATACTTTGAAGAATAATATATTTTTAACAGTATATTCTACTTGCTTTATATTAAGTCCTTTTTTATATGCATCCATAAATCTAAATGTCTTTTGAGTATATTCACAAATTTGTTTTAATGGAACCGAATCAAGAGCTTTAGGTACAATTTGTTTCAGACCTCACTATGTATAATCACATTTTCTTTTTGCATATCATTTAAAATCTTTTCAATAAAGTTCAATGAAATTAAATTTGCAATGAAATTTAGAATAAAATATTACTTTATGTTCCTTATTCTCTATAATTTCTTATATTAAACAACATTGATTTTGAAAATCTTCTTGTTGATCTAAAATATGAAATATATAACAATTTTCTTTAGATAATGTATTTTTATAAAAACCAATTATTCTATTTTTTTATAATCTCACTCTTGAAGAATTATATGTATATCTTTTGGTTTACTTCTTAATTCAATATCTGAATAATCATCAGGAAATACCATTGTTTGAACTTGATTATTAAAAAAAATATTTCACATTTTTGATTGTTTTCCTTCAGAATTTACATTCATAGCTTTTACATTAAGTGCATTGGAAGTATAAGTATTATGTGATGAAGAATTGTCAAATACAAATATTGTTATTGATCCAAAATATGTTAATTCAAAAATAGAAATTACTTTTTCTATAATCTTTAGAATAAATAATATTAATTAAATTAATTTAAAAATTATACATTGCCAATAAAATAAATACCAGTTTAATTAATTATTCAATATCTCAAAATCTATTGTAATTCTTTTCTAAATGAATCATTACTCTTGTTTCATGTGGAAATGTATTACCCACAAATTCAATTTGTTACTTATCAAGTTTAAGTGTTCCAATAGTTTCACATAAAAATTCACTAATGTGAATTGTATAACCTTGTCCTTTTTTTTGAAGTAATTGTTCAGTATCAAAACTTCAATCAGATTTACAACCATCATTAATATGAAAAATTGATTTATCATGGGTAACAAAAATATAGAGTTTTTCATTATTTTTTAAAATAAAATTTACACAAATTTCAAAATCATTTTCTTCATATTGTAGTATAAATTTTTCATATCTATTTAAATATTTATAATACAATAATAAATTATTAAATGTTAAAAATATCAAATAAATAATTTAAATAATTAGATATAAATAATATTGTAATTAAAATATATATACTCAAACATTTGAAAAAAAAATTGTTGTCTATATTCAACTACATTTTTTTTTTCATAACTATTAACATATATACCTTTGTGATAATTTTTATATCAAAAACTTATCTTATATAATTAATGTTTAACAGTAGTTTTTCTATTTAATAATTTAAAAATAATGTTTATATTTAATAATAAATTATTGTTTAATAAAAATTTCAAATATAATATTACATAATTTTAAAATAAATTATTCAATTCTTGTTGTAAGTTCAATATCCAACTTTGAAAAAATAACATTCAAAATATAGGTAACAAAATTTGATAAATAAAATTTAAATTTATTGATATGTAAATAAGAAATAATTTTATTTTTTATATCTTTGTCTTCAAGCAAGCTATATACTTTGATATATTTTCCACACATAAAACTGGAATTTTTTTTCCATTAGTTAATATATTGGCCTAACTTTGAAGTTGCTAAGCAAAGTATTTATTTTTGCCTAATTGTCTTATAACATAAAAACTTGTATTTATTTTTTTATAATTAAATTTAAATAACTGTAAATATTATAATGTTACAAATATACACTATTGTTGATTTGGTAATAAGGTTTATCTTGAAGTTTTGATTTAATTAAATGAATTAATTTATCAACATCTATTTTGTATCTGATGTTTTAGAATTTTCTAATATTTCCAATTAATTATTATTATTATCATTATCTATTTCACTATTTTCATCATTATGCAAATTAGTTTTTAAAGTTTTGTTAGTTTAAAAAATAGATAAAAATATTTGGTCAATTCTTGATTACTATTTTTTTTTTGTTTAAACACTGTTACCATTATCACTGGTCAAATTTGGCATATAAAGTACCTATCGGGTACTTATTATGGTATCCGATAGGTATCCGATATACATTTTTTGACATATATCGGATACCCGATAAGTGTCATCTTATTCCCTAATATCGGACACTTATCGGGAACTTATTGGTCACATATACTACACATATTGGACACCTATTTTTCAGCTATTTTTTTTATATCAATTGGGTACCCAATTTTTTTATTCAATATCGGGAACCTATTAGTGATATATTCTTCCCTCTGATAGGTGTCTGATATTTTTTTATTACACCTATCGGTCCTCTGATACTTTTATTTATTATATCTATTAGTTACCTGATAAGTGTAGTAATCATATTGTATTCGAATGCTTTTTTCAAATAAATTATACAAATTAATAGTTTTATTTATTACTGCATAAATTTTATACAATTTTATGTAATATATATATAAT